GCCGCGCCGCTATCCAGCAGCGCGCAGGCCGCCTGTCCATTGCATATCGCTGCTGCCGAGCAGCGCGAACTGAACAGATGGCCACATGCAGGACCCCTTGTCTCCTCTGCCTCGCTCTGCAGATTCTGCCCTTGGGCTTCCGCACTGTGTCGCCGAGACAGTCCCTGATCCGAGCCGTCACGAGCTCGCTCCTCGTTCACGATGTACGCCGAGAGCACGGGGTTCTGCTCATCTAGCGCGCCGGCCTCAGCGAGGAGGTTAAAGTGGATGCCCGCCAGACAGTGCAGGTGAATGTTGCCCCGTTTCGAGTGGCGCGCACTGCAGAAGGTCATGGGATGATCAGGTCCGAAGTGCACCAGAACTCTCACGTCGAACAGGCAGGCGAAAACCGCAAGCAGCTCCACAGCCAGCGGCTGTCCGGGCAGGCGCATCAAACGCAAGGCCTGACGCACAGACCGGTCGAGTTTCAGCCCATATTTTCCCGGTGAGCGAAGGGCCTCGTCGATCAGCTTCGCACGGAGCTCGCGATTGACAGCCGGCTGAAGCGCGTTGGTGCTCATCCACTCGCAGAGGCACTCTACCAGGCTGTCCCCTCCCCCCTCCGGCCGACGCGAGAGGATGAGACCGGGAGGGAGACCCGTGTCGGCGGGAATCTCGGGCGCAGGCGGCGCGCCGTCTGGGGCTCCCACGCGGGACAGCATGTCAGCGGCAGCGTTCAGACGGCCGGGGACGTGTCGGATCTCCATGTCATAGGCCGCCAGCTCTTCCACGGTCCTCGCGACCCGGTGGTTAATCAACCGCAGTGAGTGCAGGTGAACGAGGGCCTGATGATCGGTGTACGCGATGAAATGAACCCCAGCCAGGAACGAATGAAAAGTTTTCACGCCCCATCGCAGCGCCGCGAGTTCTCGACCAGTCGCTGAATAGCCACGCTGGGCGTTCGTGAAGGACATCGAGGCGAACGCGATGGCGCGATCCCGCCCGTCCTGACGCTGAGTGAGGCACGCGCCAGCCCCATAGGCCGAAGCGTCGACCCAGAGACAGAGAGGGTTGGCGGTGTCGCTGTAGTCTGGAAAGGCAAGCATGACGTCGCGGGCGATCTCATTCTTCAGTTGTTCGAACGAGTCAGTCATTTCGGGTGTCCAGGTAAGCGCAGTGGAACCAGACTGGCCGGTGAGCTCAGACAGAGGGCGAGCGACCTCCGAGCAGCGGGGAACGAACTTCCGCTGGAAGTTCACGAGGCCGAGGAACCGGCGCAGCTCCTGAACAGTCTGCGGCCGCGGGAAGCTCTGGACTTTCTCGATGTACTCAGGGGCCTTGCGCAGTCCAGCTGCCGAGAGCTGATGTCCGAGAAACTTTACTTCAGGCTGAAACCAGTGACACTTCGCTGTGTTCAGCGTGATCCCGTGCGCCTCCAGCGCCGACAGGACAGCATCCACAAGCTGCAGATGGCCGGAGAACGACGATTCCATCAGGAGCAGGTCATCCAGATACACCACAAGCTGCTGACGTGAGAATCCCGCGAAAATGGCCTGCATTTCGCGCTGGAAGACAGCAGGAGCGTTTTTCAGTCCGAAACTGAGACATCGGAACCGGTAGTGGGACCGCTGCGTGCTGAACGCGGTGAAGTCCCGCGACTCTTCTGCGATGGGAAGCTGGTAGTAGGCTCGTTGAATGTCCAGCGCGCTGAACCAGCGCATATCATGCGCGCTGTAGACGGAATCTGCTACATCTGTCATCGGGAAACGCTCTGTGACGGTGCGGCGGTTCAGGCGGCGGTAGTCGATGCATAGCCGAAGCGAACCATCGCGCTTCCGGATCGGAACGATTGGTGCATTCCATGCTGAGTTGCAGTGTTCGATGATCCCCAGACGTTCAAGCTCCAGACATTGACGCTCGACATCTTCGGCGATCGGTGGAGACATCCGTCGGGGTCGCACGTAGATCGGGGTGTCATCCATTAGTTCGATTCGGTGCGCGGTCAGAGCAGTCCGCGGGGTGTCAGCGTCATCACCCCCGAACACTCTCGAGTGCCGGTCGAAGATTTCCTGCACGGCGTCGCGCTGTTCACGTGAGAGGCCAGGTATCTCGTCAGCGGACGGCGGGCGACTGACCTGTTCGTCAGCGGCGTCCGACGAAGCGGCAAGGACTTCCACGGGAGGATCGCAGTCAAACATGCTGTCCGCTGCAGTGTACAGCTGGCCGATCAGTGCACCTTTCCGGACAGTGGTTGGTACAAAGCCTCGGTTGCAAACCAGCACACAGGGCTCGGACAGATCCACAATTCCATCAACAGGTTGCAAGCAGGGCGCACTGGCGACGTCCCCAGTGAACACATACGAGCGGGAGGGCGCATCACAAACGTCGCAGGTAGGCTGGGAACTGATCAGGCAGGGGAGGGTCACAGAGTCACCAGGCGCAACTGTGACGTCTCGAGTCGCGCGACAGGGCACTGCGCGGGCGAAATACGCACAGGCGGAGTTGCGATCCCCATCAGGCAGGTACAGCGTCCACTGCGAACCATCCACATGTCGGCCAGTGACCGCTCGGCGAGAGACATCGATACACAGTCTGTGTCGTTCCAGCGCGTCACAGCCGATAATCAGATCAGTTACGGCGCGGTCCGAGTCGAGCACCAGACAGTCTGTGAGCTGAAGCGGCACCCCGTGCAGAACAACGGAGACCTCTGCACGTCCCACCGGATGTAGCGTGCGGCCGCCGATCGCGTGAACAACCTCCGAACACGGTCGAATCACAGCATCATCAACCAAGTGTCGCGCGATCATGGAGCGGTCAGACCCAGTGTCTATCACGCCCGTCACATTCTCAGAGCACCCAGCCACAGTAAACTTCGCGTGCAGGGCTGGCTGCGGTCGGGCAGACGAGGCGAAGACAGCTTCCGCATGCAGGGGAAGCGCGGGGCTAGAATCGGTCGTAGCGGCTGGCCCCGCCGCGGCAGTACGACCATTTAGTTTTCCGTCTGACTGAGTGCTGGGGCACGCTGGCCGCGACGGAGGGCTCGAGAAGCCCCACGCTCCGCATGCATTACAGCCGGGCTTGGCGGGTCTTCTCGGGACCTGTCCAGCGGGAGTGGCGAGCTGGAGCGGCGCGCGCGACCTGGGGCTGAGGGGACAGGCCCATCGTCGTGAGAGGTGCGGCAGTCACGCGCAAAGTGGCCAGAGGCGCCGCACGTGAAACACAGGTCATTGGCACGCCGGCACTCGTTCGCGGTGTGACCGCGGCGGCGGCAGAAATCGCAGCGCAGAGGGTTCCTTTGACGGTCGCGGGTTGGCGAGTGTGCCGGCTGCACGGCGGTCAGTGCGTGGTGTCCGCGGGCTGACGCACCACGTGACTTAAATGCACCGCGCGGGACGCTGACGGAACGATGAGAGCAGTCCCAGTCGCTGTCTGACTCGTCAGCGGACAAACGGAGGTCGTGGTGCGCAGGACGTGACCGTGGTGACGTTGTCCGGGGACGGGAGCTTTTGCACGACCGGCGCGCGGCCGTTGACTGACTGCCGTGCTCTGCTGAACCACGTGCATATAACGAGTCGTGTGTGCCATCAGCCTCCGACTCGAATCGTTCACATTCCAGGTATGACACCAACCCATCCCACCTGAGCGTGGTATCATGATTAATCAGCGCATAACGCAGCTGCCGGCGGAGAAAGTCAGCGGCACACGTGGGCAGCGTTGACAGCAGTTTACGTCGGAGATCATTGCTCACCTGTTTGTCCGCCTCAGGGTACGCATCTTCGAACAGCGCAGCCAGCCGGAACGCATACACTGCCAGAGATTCTCCCGGCCGGCGCGCGGCGTCCCGATATGCGTCCGTCGCAGTCGTCTCCTCGTAGCCGCGCTGACAAGCGGCCCACTCCAACATTCGGCGCTTGATCACTGGGTACGGGCTGCGGGGTCCGTTAGCATCGAATATTTCCAGAACGCGGCCCGACAGCTTTGAACGGAGCAGCGGCAGCGCGTCTTCCATTGTACCGCGGTATTCAGACGTACAGTACCTTTCAAACCGGGCGAAGAATTCGTCCATGGGCTCTGTTGGGTCTTCACGAAACGGGAGCAGGTCGTGAGAGCGAGTCGGATGACTCTGGACCGTCTCACGACTCACTGGAGGCCCGACGGGGGCGACGGCATCGTTTGTACCGGCGCCATTGTCGCCCGCCGGAGCCGCCCTGACAGATAGGGCCTGCTGTAGCGCTGTTATCTGTATGTCTTGATTTTGCATATGCTGCCGCATTTCTTCCATGAATGCGAGCATAGCTGTCGGTTTCGCCTCCGTGATGGCGTCAGCTGGCGGCTGTGGTGAATCACTAGCCGGCGCGGGGTCAGAGGCCGACATGGCGTCGGAAAATTACAAAGTTACGTTATAAAAAAAAAAATACTAACGGCACGGTACTGAGTCTCGCTGGACTAGGGACGCAGCGGACGAGCCCCCAATGTTACCGGTCGCGTGTACTTTCCGGTTTCCAGCTCGAGAGTCTCGATTAACGGCAAAAAACTGTATTGCCACTTAAACCGCGACAACATCCCCCCGCGGGTTCCCAAGCTCGACTGCCTTCCCGCCGCGTCTCTCGCCGCGCCGCGTCGCGCGGCGTCGCCATGGCAACGGGCAGAGGAGATGCAAACTCCGACACACATACCCACGGACGCACGGCGGAGGGCGGCTTGGCGACAAAGAACCAAACATTTGTACTCTGTTACAATTCTCCACCCCTGTTACCGGGCGAGACGCGTGCTCTAACCACACGGAGTCCAACGCTCTACCGACTGAGCTACCGGCTACGGGACCGATAGTTCCTGATTCATGCAGCGTAATAAAATTTTGAAGTAGCTCTTGTAAATAAATTCGTTTTTTCGATATTGTCGATATTTTCGTCATTTTAGAATAAAAAAGACATGCAAACAAGGTATAGGTACAACTCGAGAATAACTATAATTTAGTAGCATGTTTCAATAAACGTCGTTACTGCGGCATTATTGAAACTGCCAACTGTGTACGGAAAGAACTAGACGCATCTTTAGTTGACGAATCTCTGTGATGACGGACAATTCTTTGTGAATTAATAAAAGTATATTATATTTAGCTTCTAATAACGATACAGGTGAGATAAATACAACAGTGTAGAAGTAAATGGAGTGTGAGGCTGGCGTATATTCCTGAACTTTCGATAAACAGCCTTGCTTTGTTTGGATTCCCTCGATATTGTAAAAGTAGGTCTAGGTCAATTCTGTCATTTATTATTATGCAATAATATATTTTTATCATCCAGAAAATGTTTGGCCATTACCTCCTTGTGGTTTAATTTGACATGAATCAATGTAATTGTAAAAGGAAATACATCACTTTTAAGTAGTTTTGTAGGTACCTTGAGCTTGAGCTGAGACTGAGACTAGCACAAATCAGAGGGCTGTTCACGGGCCCTGTGTGTGGTCGGACCGTATACAGACTAAACCCACTGCGTCCCTACTTCATCCTTCCATCACCGCACACAGCGATTGCTGTGGTGTGGTCGGTCGGGACTGGCCACGGGTCACGGGACTGTCCACCGCACGCGGCTGTGACGTCAGAACTGCCAACTGCCTACCCATCCCCTACCCCCACACCTGCTGCACGCACCACACACACCACACTCAGCATTTTGTGGTGCCCTTGACTCCACAGTGATCACCCCAGGCAAGATGTTCCTTTTTTTGTTCCAAAAACAGTGTTTTGTAGATGAGAAAGAGCACTTTGTAGAGGAATGTGTGTCCTTTGTCATTGTAGAAGAATGAGGTCACATCATCATCTGCTGATCAGCATGCTGCTGGTTTTGAATTACATAATATGATTGGTCAACACATAGTAAGATTCTGTGACAAACCCTATTTGATGAAGAATATACAGTAAAGCGAGATGTTAAGGGACAGTTTTGAGGTGTTTTATTATGTAACTCAAGCAGGGTAACAAAACAGTGTCAACTTCCACACTCAAGTTTTTATTTAACCTTCTTAGATGAGGAACTTGATATGACTTGAAGTTTTTCCCTTGCAACTGTCCATTAGCACCCCACTGTCCCTTAACACCCTGCTTTATGGTAGAACTTCTGATATTGAAATAATTAAATTCTTTTTTAAATATGAATTCTGATCATTTTGCACAAAAAAGTCATGAAGCAGCAGGAAAAAAATTTCAGGGAAGTGGTGTGGTGCTTTTAAATGAGAAGGCACATGAAGGGTTTCGTCTTTATTCTTTCTGTGTCAAATAAAAAAATAAGCTGGGAGGAACAGACTGTATTTTTCTGTTTAAACTCAACTTGTTAAAAGCATCTAAGGAAGGTATGCCATGTTGTCTAAATTTCAGGGACTGGCACTAGAATTAACACCAAGTTGAACTCCTGGTCAGGCCCGATAATTTCAAAAGTTTGAGAGCAAGTTCTGCCCGATATTTGGCCGGACCAGGACCTGGTAATGGGGCAGCAGGGGCCTGACCAGGGGCAGGGGCAGCAGGCCAGGGCCAGGGGCAGCAGGGGCCTGACCAGGGGCAGCAGGCCAGGGCCAGGGTTAGGGGCCTGACCAGGGGCAGGGGCAGCAGGCCAGGGCCAGGGGCAGCAGGGGCCTGACCAGGGGCAGGGGCAGGAGCGGCAGCAGCCAGCAGAGCTGACTGGGCACATACGCCAGTGGGATAGGCACTCACTGGGACCTCGTAGTGGGGCAGCAGCCAGCGGAGCTGACTGGGCACATACGCCAGTGGGATAGGCACTCACTGGGACCTCGTAGTGGGGCAGCAGTCAGCGGAGCTGACTGGGCACATACGCCAGTGGGATAGGCACTCACCGGGACCTCGTAGTGGGGTAGCAGCCAGCAGAGCTGACTGGGCCCATAAGCCAGTGGGATAGGCACTCACCGGGACCTCGTAGTGGGGTAGCAGCCAGCGGAGCTGACTGGGCACATACGCCAGTGGGATAGGCACTCAGCACCAGCCTGCAAACAGGGCTGGGAAACTTCCTAGTCCAGATCAGTTTCAGCATTTGGCATTGGTTCATGTCATCTTTTGCTTTGTTTCAGAGGCCGGCTCTGACACATATCGGTCGAAATGTTCATCTGGGACTGGCTTACTGGTGTTCTGGGCTACCTTGGTAAGTGTCACTGTTGTCTGTTACCAGTTACCACCTCTTACCTGGTTACATCATGGTCACTGCAGTTATTACCTGGCTATATCATTGTCTGCATTGCTGCTTGTTTACTTGGTCAAGTGTCACTAAAATTGCATATCTATGTGGGTGGCACAATTTTAAGCTGTTAACCAAGGCACCTAAGCTTTATCAATACTACTTTGGAGTTGAGATCAATTTGACCTTTCATATAATGAATGTGTTCAGCATTCTGTTGTGGCCGTGCTGGGCTGTCGGTTCTGTTTGTGCTCTATGTGGGTGCCTCCCTGATAGCGCTGTGTTTGCAGGTCTGTATAAGAAGTCGGGGAAGCTGCTCTTCTTGGGCCTGGACAATGCCGGGAAAACCACACTGCTCCACATGCTGAAGGACGACCGGATGGCGCAGCACGTGCCCACCCTGCACCCCAGTGAGTCTCGTACTGTACCTACCTACTTACCCCAGTGAGTCTCGTATACTGTACCTACTTACCCCAGTGAGTCTCGTACTGTACCTACTTACTTACCCCAGTGAGTCTCGTACTGTACCTACTTACCCCAGTGAGTCTCGTACTGTACCTACAGTACTTACCCCAGTGAGTCTCGTACTGTACCTACCTACTTACCCCAGTGAGTCTCGTATACTGTACCTACTTACCCCAGTGAGTCTCGTACTGTACCTACTTACTTACCCCAGTGAGTCTCGTACTGTACCTACAGTACTTACCCCAGTGAGTCTCGTACTGTACCTACAGTACTTACCCCAGTGAGTCTCGTACTGTACCTACAGTACTTACCCCAGTGAGTCTCGTACTGTACCTACGGTACTTACCCCAGTGAGTCTCGTATTGTACCTACGGTACTTACCCCAGTGAGTCTCGTACTGTACCTACAGTACTTACCCCAGTGAGTCTCGTACTGTACCTACAGTACTTACCCCAGTGAGTCTCGTACTGTACCTACAGTACTTACCCCAGTGAGTCTCGTACTGTACCTACAGTACTTACCCCAGTGAGTCTCGTACTGTACCTACAGTACTTACCCCAGTGAGTCTCGTACTGTACCTACAGTACTTACCCCAGTGAGTCTCGTACTGTACCTACAGTACTTACCCCAGTGAGTCTCGTACTGTACCTACAGTACTTACCCCAGTGAGTCTCGTACTGTACCTACAGTACTTACCCCAGTGAGTCTCGTACTGTACCTACTTACCCCAGTGATTGCCATGTTATACCCCAGTGATTGGCATACTATAACCCGCGAGTTGCTGGGGGGGGGGGCGTTAAATGCCCCCACTTTTTTCGCCGGGCCATAGCATAAAGGCACGCCAAATTTTGGGTACCTGTAGGGAATTGATTGAAGTTTATTGTGACAAAGTTTCAAAAACATCCATCGGAAAATTTTTGAGATATCGAGGTTTTCGTGACGTCATGATTTCTGACTTTTCGACCAAAAACGGCAGATGTTCAAAAAATCATATAAAATCACAGAATAGACATACAGACATGCCGTAAACGCCATTAGAATGCCAATACCATGACCAATCAAATGGCTATCTTCGTTTATTGATTATCGTTCCGCATTTTCCAAAATCTTGAACTGAATCTTGACAATTTCTCGTGACTACTTCACGACCATGATACATGAATTTCTTAAATTGAACTTTTTGAGCCAAACACGTACACATCTGATAAAATGAATGTCACCATCGTGTTCTACGGCCCAAATTACCCATAAAACATGTGTCATAGGCTGCGAATAACAGTTTTGATTTTCGGGGATATGTGCCTACCCGGTTGACCTGACCTTGACCCTGACCTATGCTTGACTGACCCCTACATGAAACTGACACTCTTGTAGGCCTTATATGATGGATTGTGCACCGTTTTGACAGAGTTTCTGACGAGAGGCGCCCATTGCGAAGTCCTGAAGTCCATGCTACTGAAAGCCCGATTTCAGGTGTTTGACCTGACCTTGACCCGACCTGTGACCTCAAAATTCAACTTTAAAGTACTCATCTGAAGCGTCTCGTCGCGTTCTTTCGTTTGCCGCCTCGTGCGTTTCGCTGCGCCTATTGGTTCTCGAGTTATCGGCTGGGGGCGTTTAACGCCCCCCCCCCCCCCCAGCAAACGGCGGGTGCCGAAATACCCCAGCAACTGCCGGGATAACTCAGTGGGTGTCACCCTACACCCCAGTGGGGGTCATGCTATAACGCAGTGTCACCCTCTACCATGGGCGCCGCCACCGGGGGGGACGGGGGGGACGCGTCCCCCCCACTCTCAGAATTGAAGGGGGACGTCCCCCCCAAACTCATTACGGAGCGAGCGAAGCGAGCTTAGTCTTTCGTAGGTTAACGGAAATTTCTGAGTATGCCGTGGTCACGCTTTTGCTAGGCTTATATCTCAGCAACCACTTGGCCGATTTACATGCGGTAATTTTTGCAGGGTAGCACTAGAATCTAGATTCATTCCTTCTAACGAGCATCGGATCGGACTATTCCCGATGCATGTGAGTGACCCCATATGCACGTGCCACGTGAAAAACGAAGAGGTGTCAGTTTTGTAACAATTTCAATATCTCGGCAACTACTGGGCCGATTGCGCTGAAAGTTGGCATGTACGTAGGTAATCTTGGGTAGGTATACCCACTAGGCAATGCATATACATGTGCCACAGTTGGGGTGCTGCTGCACGTGCGCACATGCAGGGGTCGATTCCAGATCTCGAGAACGGCTGAACCGATTGTGCTGAAATCTGATACATGGTTAGGGACCGGTTAGTAGGGTGCCGTGCAAAAGTCAGTTTGGATCCATTTTGCACGTGCGCACGTGCAGGGTGCCGCTTCCAGATCTCGAGAACGGCTAGGCCGATTGCGCTCAAATTTGGCACATCGTTAGGGACCGGTTAGAAGGGTGCAGTGCACAAGTTAGTTGGAGGTATCCCCTCGCAATTTCGCACGTGCAAGGCCCACCCCACCCTCTCGCTCGCTCCGTTAGTCGCCCCAAAAGGCGTTTTACTGGTTGTTATCCTACTCGAAATTTGATTAGGCCCTTCGGTCCAAAGAGACCATTTCAGAGCCGCAAGTATGAAAGAATTAGTGGGAGACATTGGTCGGGGCAGCCACCCTAGTGAGCCACTTGGGATGAACCCGACCAATCGAACAGGCAGCCCAGCCCACTGGCACTCACTGCACCCGGCAAAGGACTATAGCTCCAGTGGAGCCATTCCCGCATGGGATAGAGTTGCCCGTCCAGCCCGGAGCAGGGGGTTGCGGCGTGGAGGAGAAGGATTTGACTGTCCTGAGGATGGAAGAGATGGAACGGCCGGTGCCGAATCTGAGAGGGTCCAGGAGGTTTAGATACTCAGTATATGGGGTGTGGGCCCACATGCATGGGTCTGACCCCTGCCACCTCGGCCAACAAAATCTCCAGGCTTATCCGACCTGCCATCGCGGAACTGCCGATTTTTGATATCGTGATCAACGTGTGTCGTACAACACGGCTGGCCGAACACGGACCTAATATATTTCGTCTAACCAGCCAAGAACATGACTTTACACCAATCCGACCTCGAAGTCAAAATCCGAACATTTTCGAAGACTTCAACTCCGACTCTGGCCAAAACTGGCCAAAACAGTCAACTCCGACTGATTCCGGCTCCGACCCCACGCTTCTGCAGTCACGCTACACTAAATTTCCAGCTTCTAAGAAATAAGCTATACGGTTGCAGGACCACAAAACTTTGAGGCGACTTGACTACTTGACTTGGTTTTCCTGACCTAAGGTTTTCTGGTATCAAGCTTGTTACACGGGCTGCAAAATTCGTATTTTGGAGCAGTTTTGCCTAATATTTTTTTGCCAGTTTTCGCGGCGCTTCGCGCCGAAAAAGCCACGGTAAGAATGTCTACTTGTGTTTTCAGTCAGTCAGTCCGTCCCCCCCAGTCAAAAATCCGTGGCGGCGCCCCTGCCCTCTACCCCAGTGAGTGTCATACCATACCCCAGTGAGTGTCATACCATACCCCAGTGTCATACTTCATACCATACCCCAGTGTCATACCATACCCCAGTGTCATTCCATGGATGAAAGAACCTGGATAGGAAACTCCTATTCCTTTAACATTACGGACAGTGTTCTGGGCGATCGACCTGCCACCTAGCGTTCGTTAAGTATCATTACTAGAAACTCCCGCCGGTAAGCATTACGGTCTATGGGCTATTGGGCTACGCGGGCGGCCTGTTTTTAAATGGGTATTAGACTGCAATACACAATTATTTTTAGGTTTAGAAGCTACTCACCATAGACAAAATTGATCAGGCTATCAAATGAAACCAAAACTATTATTTTCCGTTGCGCACAAAAGTCGTAGGTACACGAGGGCCGAATACAGGTGACCTTGAAAAAGAGGACCATTTCTATTGTTTTTCTCTTACGCGGCGCCAGTGAGGGCGCGGCAGACGCGTGCCCTCGGGCACTTACCGAAGGGAACGCAATCAGCTGTTAGTTTCCATTTCAGGTTCTCCTGGATAGGACACTCCCTATTCTTTAACCCTCGCCCGCACATGGGGGGGGGGGGTGGTTGCCACCCCCCCCCCCAGGTAGTCTTTCTGCTCTGCACTCAACATTTTTAGAGCTAGAAGGCTGATTTTTCGTATAGCTGCTCCTCTATCCTTTCTTGATGTCCACTGAAAATTTCAAGTTTCTGTGAATTTTGGTTTCGGAGATATGACCTTGTTTTTCAGGTCATGTCATGACCCAAATGGCCAATTCTCAACTTTTTGCGCTTGCCATGGGCCTTGTGAGCTTTTGACACCCTGATTTCGGCCTTTTTTGCCAGTCTTACCTCCCACCTATCATGGAACATGTTGTTCGACCATGTACAGGGGTCAAGGTCAGGGTCAAGGTCAACCTAGGTCATCTAACATAATTGCGTTTTAGGCAAGCTGAATTTACTTTTTGTGAAGTTTTTTGACTGCATTTTTGGTAAAAGCTTCTCAGATCATGATTTCATGTAATATGGACCCAAAAACAATCGGTGCACACATCAGTATACACACAGACACACACAGACATACAAACACATATAATTGACCTTGACCTAACTTGACCTGAAATGACCTCAGCAGCAAAATTCTGGTCGGGTAGTGTGACAAAGAGGTTCTAGCTGGCTTGGCACCAGAAAACAGCATCGTCATCGGTATTTGATAAGCAGCGCACTTGATATCCAACGGTGACCCAAAACAGCAATATTTTTTAGTTTGACCTGACCTGGAAGGTCAATGACTGACCTGAGAAGGTAAAACTGGGTATCATTGGATTCGTCTCTTCCCAAAGAATCTTTTTGGTCTTTACTGCTAAGCTCTATCTCCAACAGGAACGAAATGGCGCGGGGGGGTGGCAACCACCCCCCCCCCCCCATGTGCGTTCTAGGATGGGAAAATGGCATGTGCGGGCGAGGGTTAACTTATTAACTTATTTTCATGCTATCACATACAAAAATCACTTAACCCTCGCACGAGCTATTGGTTTTCTACATACGCGCCGGCCAAGGGGGGCGGGTACAACCCTCCTCGCCGTTTCGCCCCTGTTGGAGCTAGCGCGTCGCGGAAAAAAACGAGCGTGTGCGCCGTTACGAGACGCAGAGATTGATACCCGATTTTAAGGTCCTAGGTCAACCTGTGACCTCAGAGGTCAGGTCAAGTGGCCAAGGTACGGTTCAGTTTTTGGTGAATAACTTCGCATAGAACGGCCACAGAGCCGCGATTTTGGCAGTATCATGTTTGCCTCGCACAGGCGCGTCGAATGATATACCTACTTTTTGTTTGGGTCAGGTCAACTTAGGGTGTTGAGTGTTGACCTCCGGCCACGGTCAGGTCAGCGCCCCCAGGTCACGAAGATGGTCGAAAGAGGTCATGTCGCATATCATTCGATTCGGCAGCTCTTCCTGAGTCCATTGGTGGCTTTTCCGACTCGCTAGCTCAAGTTGATCGGGAGTTATTGACGAAAAACTAATATGACTTTGATGACGTCATAAATGACGTCACGCAGGGTCAACATTGCAAAAGTGACGCATCCAACCTTGCAAGGAGTGCATCAAATCACGATTCTGTGTGCTTGAGATAGTTGGAGATCGTTCCCGGTGCCAGAATAGCAGTTTTCATTTTTCCCCATTGGCTTATAATGGTGAGGTCACGAAAATGACCTGACCTCATATGACCTTAAGGAAAAATCCGAGATATACAAGCTGTGAGACTCGTAATGGATACTGGGTCCTGCAAGTTTCATTTCCCTGTGAAAGCTCCTCTAGCAGTGAGGGCGTTGCGAAGTTGCGACATCTGAAGACCGTGCAGAGATTCACTTATGACGTCATAGGTCAGTGACCTGACCTGACCTGACCCGAAAATGCGGTTGGTGTCAAAAGATCCGGCTTGAATCAAAGGTCAGGTAGGTATGCCAAGTTTCAGCTCTCTATCGCCAGCGTGTTCGGAGCTATCGCGAAAAAGCCCTGGGGGGGGGGCACCCCCCTCCCCTTGGCCGGCGAGGGTTAATTCTTAACATTTGCTCATCGGCTGTAATCATGACCCCACACTTGTTATCAGAATTTAAACAACTTGCTTAAATTCAGTGAGTGCCAAACTACCCCAGAGTGTCATACTACGTACAGTACACCCAGTGACTAGTGAGTGTCAAAGAACACCCAGTGAGTGCCGTAAGTGAGTCACATAGGGATACTAGCTCGGTGAGCTAACATGACTAGCTTGGTGAGCTACCGTATCATTAGTTCCCAGGCCTGCCCAAAGCAAAAACACATCCTGATTGGAGAGCCATGCAAGATTACTTAGGGAAGGGCCCAGGGCAAGTCCTTTGATACAGTTTGAACAGCTTTGTAGGATAGTTTAATAATTTACAAGCGATCTTTGTGTTCTATATAGTTTCAAAAATGCATTTATTATGGCTTCTTACCATGCTACTGGTTGGGATCAGTAATTGTGCTGATGTACCGACGCACATGCATCTAGTCCCATGGAAAGGTAGCAAATTGTCGTTTTTTACACACCTGTATTCAGATGGGTTCAAAAGAGTATCAGCGTTAGGCGCTCTGAAGGTCCCAGTTAACTGCTTTGCCTGGGTCACATTTGGTGCATTTAGACTTGAGGAGTTGTGGTGCTCATTATATAATGAAAGTGAATGTTTGACTGGTGTTAAACTGATGCCATTTATTTTTATGCCTGAGAACTCATTTTGAATTTGGTGTGACGTTATAGAGCTGACAATTTGATTGGCTCGGTGATCAGTTTGCAGCATGGCAGTAGGAATGTTTAGTGAATCAGTTTGCCAAACTGGACGCCTGATTCTGCGGGTTTGGTTTTTTTCACGGACGCGTGTGTTCACTGTGGGCGGTCGGAGGCATTAGTGTCCCGTGATTTCCCTCTGATAGTCTCCGTCGGCGCCGCGCGGTTCGCCGAGTCATCTTCGCCGGGCCGACTGTAGATACTGACGGGGACCCGCTGGCCTTGGCTCCTGGTGCGACTGACGTACTCCGGCCGGCCACTGCCGCGGACGGACGGCGAGTGTATTGGACTTAACACCGCAGTGTCGCTGTCGGCACAGCGGCTGTACACCGCAGTGTCGCTGACGGCACAGCGGCTGTACACCGCAGTGTCGCTGACGGCACAGCGGCTGTACACCGCAGTGTCGCTGACGGCACAGCGGCTGTACACCGCAGTGTCGCTGACGGCACAGCGGCTGTACACCGCAGTGTCGCTGTCGGAACAGCGGCTGTACACCGCAGTGTCGCTGACGGCACAGCGGCTGTACACCGCAGTGTCGCTGTCGGAACAGCGGCTGTACACCGCAGTGTCGCTGTCGGCACAGCGGCTGTACACCGCAGTGTCGCTGACGGCACAGCGGCTGTACACCGCAGTGTCGCTGACGGCACAGCGGCTGTACACCGCAGTGTCGCTGACGGCACAGCGGCTGTACACCGCAGTGTCGCTGACGGCACAGCGGCTGTACACCGCAGTGTCGCTGACGGCACAGCGGCTGTACACCGCAGTGTCGCTGACGGCACAGCGGCTGTACACCGCAGTGTCGCTGACGGCACAGCGGCTGTACACCGCAGTGTCGCTGACGGCACAGCGGCTGTACACCGCAGTGTCGCACAGCGGCTGTACACCGCAGTGTCGCTGACGGAACAGCGGCTGTACACCGCAGTGTCGCTGTCGGCACAGCGGCTGTACACCGCAGTGTCGCACAGCGGCTGTACACCGCAGTGTCGCTGACGGAACAGCGGCTGTACACCGCAGTGTCGCTGACGGCACAGCGGCTGTACACCGCAGTGTCGCTGACGGCACAGCGGCTGCCCGGGCGGGCCGGCGGCAGTGCGCCGGTGGAAACTTGCTAATGGGATTTGCATATCAGTGCACATCCTTTGAGAAACTGTCCTTTGGTAACAGTGTACCCCCGTTTCCCGTTTCCGTAGCCTCAGGAGAGCTCTCCACTGACAACAGTCTGTCCCGTTTCCCCAGCCTTTCAGTAGCTGTGTGTCTGTAACTCTGTGTTCTGTGCTCGGCAGCGTCTCTGTAACTCTGTGTTCTGTGTTCGGCAGCGTCTGAGGAGCTGTGTGTCTGTAACTCTGTGTTCTGTGTGCGGCAGCCTCTGAGTAGCTGTGTGTCATTAACTCTGTGTTCGGCAGCGTCTGAGGAGCTGTGTGTCTGTAACTCTGTGTTCTGTGTTCGGCAGCGTCTCTGTAACTCTGTGTCCCGTCTCCGCAGCGTCTGAGGAGCTCTCCATTGGTAACATGTGTTCTGTGTAACTCTGTGTCCCCACTCCGCAGCGTCTGAGGAGCTCTCCATTGGTAACATGTGTTCTGTGTAACTCTGTGTCCCGTCTCTGCAGCGTCTGAGGAGCTCTCCATTGGTAACTCTGTGTTCTGTGTTCTGTGTTCCCCAGCGTCTGAGGAGCTCTCCATTGGTAACATGCGGTTCTCTGTAACTCTGTGTTCTGTGTTCGGCAGCGTCTGAGGAGCTCTCCATTGGTAACATGCGGTTCACCACGTTCGTGTTCTGTGTTCGGCAGCGTCTGAGGAGCTCTCCATCGGTAACATGCGGTTCACCACGTTCGTGTTCTGTGTTGGGCAGCGTCTGAGGAGCTCTCCATTGGTAACTCTGTGTTCTGTGTTCGGCAGCGTCTGAGGAGCTCTCCATCGGTAACATGCGGTTCACCACGTTCGTGTTCTGTGTTGGGCAGCGTCTGAGGAGCTCTCCATTGGTAACATGCGGTTCACCACGTTCGTGTTCTGTGTTGGGCAGCGTCTGAGGAGCTCTCCATTGGTAACTCTGTGTTCTGTGTTCTGTGTTCGGCAGCGTCTGAGGAGCTCTCCATTGGTAACTCTGTGTTCTGTGTTCTGTGTTCGGCAGCGTCTGAGGAGCTCTCCATCGGTAACATGCGGTTCACCACGTTCTGTGTTCTGTGTTCGGCAGCGTCTGAGGAGCTCTCCATTGGTAACTCTGTGTTCTGTGTTCTGTGTTCGGCAGCGTCTGAGGAGCTCTCCATTGGTAACTCTGTGTTCTGTGTTCTGTGTTCGGCAGCGTCTGAGGAGCTCTCCATCGGTAACATGCGGTTCACCACGTTCTGTGTTCTGTGTTCGGCAGCGTCTGAGGAGCTCTCCATTGGTAACTCTGTGTTCTGTGCTCGGCAGCGTCTGAGGAGCTCTCCATTGGTAACATGCGGTTCACCACGTTCTGTGTTCTGTGTTCGGCAGCGTCTGAGGAGCTCTCCATTGGTAACATGTGTTCTGTGTTCTGTGTTCGGCAGCGTCTGAGGAGCTCTCCATCGGTAACATGCGGTTCACCACGTTCTGTGTTCTGTGTTCGGCAGCGTCTGAGGAGCTCTCCATTGGTAACTCTGTGTTCTGTGTTGGGCAGCGTCTGAGGAGCTCTCCATCGGTAACATGCGGTTCACCACGTTCGACCTGGGCGGCCATCATCAGGCGCGGCGCGTCTGGAAGGACTACTTCCCGGCCGTGGACTCGATCGTCTTCCTGGTGGACGCCAGCGACCGGCAGCGGCTCACAGAGAGCAAGGTTCGAATCCCGCCAGCGGCTACTGCTTTACCACTAAACACGGGGTGGGGATGCCAGCGGCTCACCGAGAGCAAGGTTCGAATCCCGCCCGCGGCTACTACTTTACCACTAAACGCGGGGTGGGGACGCCAGCGGCTCACAGAGAGCAAGGTTCGAATCCCGCCAGCGGCTACTACTTTACCACTAAACACGGGGTGGGGACAGAGAGCAAGGTTCGAATCCCGCCCACGGCTACTACTCTACCACTAAACACGGGGTGGGGACGCCAACGGCTCACCGAGAGCAAGGTTCGAATCCCGCCCGCGGATACTACTTTACCACTAAACACGGGGTGGGGACGCCAGCGGCTCACCGAGAGCAAGGTTCGAATCCCGCCAGCGGCTACTACTTTACCACTAAACACGGGGTGGGGATGCCAGCGGCTCACCGAGAGCAAGGTTCGAATCCCGCCCGCGGATACTACTTTACCACTAAACACGGGGTGGGGACGCCAGCGGCTCACCGAGAGCAAGGTTCGAATCCCGCCAGCGGCTACTACTTTACCACTAAACACGGGGTGGGGATGCCAGCGGCTCACCGAGAGCAAGGTTCGAATCCCGCCCGCGGATACTACTTTACCACTAAACGCGGGGTGGGGACGCCAGCGGCTCACCGAGAGCAAGGTTCGAATCCCGCCCGCGGATACTACTTTACCACTAAACACGGGGTGGGGACGCCAGCGGCTGACAGAGAGCAAGGTTCGAATCCCGCCCGCGGATACTACTTTACCACTAAACACGGGGTGGGGACGCGAGCGGCTCACCGAGAGCAAGGTTCGAATCCCGCCCGCGGATACTACTTTACCACTAAACACGGGATGGGGACGCCAGCGGCTCACAGAGAGCACGGTTCGAATCCCGGCCGCGGATATTACTTTACCACTAAACACGGGGTGGGGACGCCAGCGGCTCACCGAGAGCAAGGTTCGAATCCCGCCCGCGGATATTACTTTACCGTGGCCCGTCGAGTGGAAGGGGTGGGATGTCGGCTGAATTAGTGGGAACTCCATCATTGTGGTTGAAGATTAGGCAATAGGCATGCTTTGTTGATGTTCGATACACATTAGCGGGCTGTAGGCAATGACGGTATGAGTATGGATAGTGAACGCTAAAATACGAAATAGACGTTATTAAATTACTTCGGTTTCATCAGAGAATGGTGTACCCATTTGAAGGCGGCATATCTTGGATGCTGCGCCTATGCACTGGAAGTAGGCATTTTTGCCTAATGCGGCAGCTGACAGTACTCAGTGCACGGCCCCGTGCTGAGTTCAGGGGTGTCGGGTGGTCCTCAATGTTGCCAGTGCTGCTCCATCACGGTCCTACACTGGCCGTGTTACGGACATCTGCGTCACCGGGCGCGGCAGTATCCAGCCACGCCTTATTTGGAGCAAAAAGTCGTGCCGTGCCACCAACCGGTTTTCGGAACAAGTAGCTGCCGCTGAACTTGTAATGCGGGACACCTGGTCCCTGTTTCACCGCCCGACGCTGCGCGCGCTGCAGCGCGCTGGGAACTGAGGCACACCCCTGACGTCACTCGAATGACGTTGCGTGCGATCCGTTAGCTTATAGTAAATCGCGTATCGAACAGAAACCTTGAAGAACCTAGTATCAATTGAACAGAAGTTTGAATGCGAATACTGCTAGCGTGCGGATGGTGCTGGCGCCGCGGTGCTAGCGTTTTGCGATGACGTCATAGCGTAGCGTCAGAGGGAAGTTTGTTGATATTGCCATGGAAACCCAACGCGCTGACGCGCGCAGCGCACTGCAGCGCTCCGCCGTGAAACAGGGCCCTGATGTCTGGCCTTTGCCGTTGTTTGGGTTTGCGTCACTTGCGGGTTGTTGAAGTCCTTCGTTAGTTAGTGACACGTTTAGTGACTGAGTTTTTTTTTTCATTGGTATATCATTCCTTGCATGCATCTTTTATCTGTTACGCATCACACTAATACGTTTTACGCATAAATTACGGATGTTTCGGCGACTTGATACATGTTTCACTTTCATCATTTACTTGCAGTTCTGAGATTTGGTGCCAGTGTCATGCTTTGCCTTGCTGTCAAGTAATAGGTAGTAGGTACAATATCCGTGTTTTTTTTTTTTTTTTTTGCTTCTCTTACAGTTTGGTCCCGTTTGCCGACTTTTTGTCTCCTTTGCCAAATTTGGTGCCGTTTGCCGTCTTTTAGTGCTACTTGCGGTGTTCTGGTGCTGACCGACGTGTTCTGGTGCCGACTGATTTGTTTTTGGTGCTGACCGAGTTGTTTTGGTGCTGACCGCGGTGTTTTGGTGTGATCCAGGCGGAGCTGGACTCGCTGCTGACGGACGAGCAGCTCTCCAACTGCCCGGTGCTGATCCTGGGAAACAAGATCGACAAACCTTCCGCGACCTCCGAGGACGAACTGCGGAACGTGCTGGGACTCTACGGACAGACCACCGGAAAGGTACGGCAGACCACGGACAGACCACCGGAAAGGTACGGCAGACCACGGACAGACCACGGACAGACCACCGGAAAGGTACGGACAGACCACAGAAATAGTACGGACAGACCACGGACAGACCACCGGAATAGTACGGACAGACCACCGGAAAGGTACGGCAGACCAGTGGAGAGGTACGGCAGACCACGGACAGACCACAGGACAGACCACGGACAGATCACCGGAAAGACCACTTGAATAGTACCGACAGACCACGGACAGACCACGGATAGACTACGGACAGACCACCGGAAAGGTACGGACAGACCACGGACAGACCACCGGAAAGGTACGGCAGACCACGGACAGACCACGGACAGACCACCGGAAAGGTACGGACAGACCACAGAAATAGTACGGACAGACCACCGGAATAGTACGGACAGACCACCGGAAAGGTACGGCAGACCAGTGGAGAGGTACGGCAGACCACGGACAGACCACAGGACAGACCACGGACAGACCACCGGAAAGGTACGGACAGACCACTTGAATAGTACCGACAGACCACGGACAGACCACGGATAGACTACGGACAGACCACCGGAAAGGTACGGACAGACCACGGACAGACCACTGTAACAGTACGGACAGACCACCGGAAAGGTACGGACAGACCACCGGAATAGTACGGACAGACCACGGACAGACCACCGGAATAGTACGGACAGACCACGGACAGACCACCGGAAAGGTACGGACAGACCACAGGAATAGTACAGACAGACCACGGACAGACCAGGGACAGACCACGGGCAGACCACCGGAAAGGTACGGACAGACCACGGACAGACCACCGGAATAGTACCGACAGACCACAGGAATAGTACGGACCTAGTCTTTGGATAACAGAGTAAACTATAGGTAGCGGTTTCCAGTGATGGCTATAGGTACTAATATGCCTGGCTACAAATGATTTTTTTTCGCAGGTCTCTAGCTCATATTCTATTGTCCCTTTATTTCGACACATTTTTTTCAGATCGTTGAATGAAATCATTTTGGTTGGTTAAGTCATTAGAGCGCCGCTGAGATGTTTTGCAACATCTAATGTGAAGCTAGGGACTCGCAACAGACCCTATGTGAACGCGGCTAGGTACTGTCCGATCGAGCTGCCACCTACCGAAAGAAGCCGCTGATCTACCCATGGGCAGCGCTTCATTCATGAAATGCAATACAACGCAGCGGGATAGTGGATACCGCAGCATAACCATTGTCATCACTGGCGCAGCTATTCCGTCATTTTCATGCCGTCGCACTGTCATACATATTGCATGCGTCGTACATATTGCATGCGTCGTGCGCTCAGCCCATTGAGTGCCGTATAAGTTGGGCAGTGAATTCTGTCCAGAGGCCTCTTGCACCAAAATCCTCTTGCACCAATGCTTGGATTATTTTGCATCGTATACCCAATCCAAGACTCAAATGTGACAATTTGGATGTAAAATTTATCAAGTACCTGTAGGATTATGTATTGGGCTATTGCAAACAAATTTTCCACCGTTTGATTAGCTTATTCTGAAACCGGTTTTTCGATTTTACCTAGCTAGGTAGTTTGGTGCAAGAGGCCTCTGCTGTGAACCGTCTCCGTCACACGCTACTGGCAGCTGAGGGACCAGTGTCACCACGGCGGTAGTCATGATGTCCGTACCTCGCAGGTTGCGACATGATGCATCACGACTTACCTTATTTGCTTTACATCGTCTACCATGCATTTGCGCTTATTCGGCTCTTGTATTCATTTGAACTAACCAGACACAGTCAAACTTGTCCAACTTCCAACGCTGGCATATATTCCTATACTAAATGGATGCCTAGAAAGGGGCCGACGTGGCAACTTTGGCACCCTTGTGCTTTGTTTTACCCCACACTGACCTGACCTGACCCCTGAAGTGACTTGGCCGGTCTACGCGCAGTGACTTGTCTACCGTCTCCCATCAGATGAAGATCCCGCGCAGCGACCTGCCCTGACCCCCGCAGTGACCTGTGCCCCCCCCCCGTCCCCTCAGATGAAGATCCCGCGCAGCGACCTGCCCGGTCGGCCGCTGGAGTTGTTCATGTGCTCGGTGCTGAAGCGGCAGGGATACGGCGAGGGGTTCCGCTGGCTGGCCCAGTACATCGACTGAGAGCTGCGCCGCGCCGCTCCCTCCTCCGGAGCCGGGCCCGGAGCGGCCGGAGCGGCCGGAGCCGGAGCCGGGCCGGAGCGGCCGGAGCCGGGCCCGGAGCGGCCGGCAGCTGCCCGCCGGACCGGCGCCGGGCTGGGTTAGGACTGGTGAGGGCAGCGGACTGAGTGTGTGTGAGGGAGCAGCAGGCGGGCCGGCGCCGGGCTGGGTTAGGACTGGTGAGGGCAGGGCACGCTGAGTGTGTGAGGGAGCAGCAGGCCGGCACCGAGTGTGGGCGGGGGCGACCTCTCTGTCGTCCCGGGCGACTTCTGCGGCTGCTCAGTGGTGCGACTCACCCGTCACTGCGGCCCAGTCAGCGGACTGGGAACGCGGTTAGAGGCGCCGATCCGGGGACTGGATGGTCGCGGTGAGAGGCGCCGGTCCGGGGACTGGATGGTCGTGGTGTCTGAGTCGGCTGGTGAGGCGGCGATGGTCGTGGTTCATTGACTAGGCTAATCAGTTGACCAGGACCTTTGTATTCTGGCTAGGTTCATCAGCAGGGTCCTTGTTCTCTGATTGGTGGGTAATCCGACTGAGATATTGGTCGACTGACTAGGCTAGTAGGGTGACTGAGATATTGGTCGACTGACCGGGTTAGCTAGTTGACCGGGGTCTCTGCCTTCTGACTAGGCGGCTGCTCGTTGACGGGGCCGCGGTCCGCTAACTAGGGTCGTGATCAGCTGTGGCCGTCCGTCGGCCTCTACTGGCTGCCGCGAGCCGTCTGTCCGACTGGCCGGCGCGTCGGCCGGCGCTGAGCTGACCAGCGGCCACTCGACTGGCCGGCGCTGGTGCAGTGACCGGGACGCCGGACCGGGGCCGGTGAGCCGACCGGACGCCGCCGGTGGTGGTGGTGGCTCTGTCCGACTGCGGCGCGGACGTGTCGTGGCTCCCCGCGGTAAATCACCGCTCCACTGTGCGCTCTCGGTCGCCGCTCCCCGGGGGTAAATCACCGCTCCACTGTGCCGACTCTGTTGTCGTTATTTTTACAGGGGCCGCCGGGCTGCCCTCCCAGGGTCGCCCCGGGGGCGGGGGGGGGGGGGGCGGTTTGACCCGGCCTCCATGACGCCCCGTTCGCCGTCAAATTGTCAATGGCCGCCACTCCGCGGTCAGGGTGTACCGGTGACATGTACCCGCCGGGACAGGGGGGAGAAGTCCGACCCGCCCGCCCGCCGGGTGGTAATGCGGCGCCGGCGCGTTTTATCGCTATTGTCCGCGGTTCTGGTTTAGGCGTGATATGTATAGTGAAATATACCCATATTCTGTTTAAGTTTACCCCACGGCGCGGCTAGGAAATTGCGTATACCGTATCTGATAGCGTCTGGTTAAGTTATTGCTAAGTGTGACGCACGGGGACTGGTGTGGGACCGCGCAGCTGATACAGCGCACTGTGGGGGTATTTTCTGCTGCACCTCCCAAATCCACTGTACTCAGCCCCCAGTGACTGTGCAGGCGTCTGTAAACCTCTCCGGACTTTACCGATCGGTCATCTGTCCAGCAATCAAAACTCTCCTCTGTGAACACCCACCGGCCCCGTGCGCGCGCGGGCGCCGCCGCTGTGCGTGCCTGTCGGCCTCCGGTGACGTCACGCGGTGTACTGGTGACGTCACGCGGCCGTGCCGGTGTCCGGGCTCTCAATACACCTCTGTCTTCGTGGTCGGCTTTTATCCGCGATTGGCTTTTATCCGGTTTGGGTCTGACTCAAGCTGATGTTTTGACGAAAATACATCGGTAAATAATGGACAGGAAATGAAGTTCTGTTTAGGACATGAGCCGTGCTGGTGATCCGAGTTTTTTCATGCAGTGCTGGGATGGAGGGGGGGGGCGTATTCACGCCCCCGTCCAACTCTGCTCCTGAGCCCTAAGGTCAGGTCACAAGGGGTCATCAGAGTTCAAATTTGCATAATTAACGATGTTTGACGGATCGTCGCAGAACTCTGAAGCCAATAGGTACAGAGCCCACAGAGTACCCACGGAAGCCCACAGAGTACAGCGCCGCGGAAAGCGCATTCGACAGGGTAGGGAAGGGTGACTTGAACAGGTGGGGCAATTTGAACATAGTAGGATTAACCCTCGCCGGCACAGGGGGGGGGGGGAGGTGATGCAACCCCTCCCCCCCTAAGGTTTTTCGCGAATAACGCGTAAAAAGCGGCCGATACCGACGAAACTTTCAGTACCCTCGCATTGATCAATTTTACACCCACCCTCAAAATTTCATGACCCTGACCCAAATGACCTTTGACCTGTGACCTCTTTTCCGAGACCATGTTTGGCCGGAATCGCGATTCGGCGTATGTCGGCTCGCATTAGCCGCGCGTTTGCAAATTTTTCGTGGTTTCAAACGTTCAAACATGTGATTTGATGTTGCTCCCATACATTAGGGTGGGTGTCAAGGTCACCTGAAGGTCAGGTCAGGTCATTGACCTTTGGTGACCTCGGGTGACCTCGGTTCACTTTTTCGAGTTTTACATGTTTCTAGGCTAGTTTTTGGAGCTGAATTCGAATTTAGCAACCATTTGAACATTTAAGAAGTAGTTTTGGTGCCTTCGTAACATGTTACGAAGCTGTCAGAGGCGGTTGACACGTATTACGAATACCCGTCACAACCCCTACCGGTTGACCTGACCTGACCTGACCCGACCTGGTCTAAATGCTTAAAGACATCATCTCTGGTCAAAACTAACACGATATTCGTGATCAGCACCCCGGAAAACCACATAGCAGCCACACTACGACTTTCTAACAGGTCCCGATTTTCCCGGTTTTCGGGTCATTGACCTGACCTGGAAGGTCATCCGATGACTTAGGACCTTAAATTGGGTATCATCGGCTTCCTCTCGTGACGGGCAACACGCTCGTTTTTTCCGCGAAGCTCTAGCTCGATCAGGGGCGAAACGCGAGGGGGGGGGGGGTCGTACGGGGACCCGCAGTTGCTTCTGTACACGAACCCCAACTCCAGCCGTCTGTCCTGTCCAGTAACAACTGATAACATTGATATCGACTGCCGGTCCCTGTACAAGAGCAGCTGAGGTTTCCTGTGAGTGCCCTCTGACAGTTTATCGTTGTTTCCTGTGAAGGTGCTGGTGCTGGGACAATTTACTCAGGGTCGCTGTACAGTAGCAACTGCCCCGTACCAACCATCAGGGATGCGCTGGACGCCCCCTTGTGCCGTCGAAGGACGCAAAATGGCCTGTGCCGGCGAGGGTTAACACAAAATTACGGAACATCCATAACTGACATGACAATAAGACTAATTAGGGTAAATATCCTAACTAAAAGGGCTGTCATATGAACGGGGTTTAAAGTTTTTTTTTCAATATTTTTTTTCCGCTGACACTTTTATTTCAGAAACAAGTGAAAACATACAGGTCAAAAACACCTTCTGTGTTTCTGTTCAAACGAATGCCTGTTAACATTCTAGAGTTGTTTATCTGTCTTTCTAATATCAGTACCGCTAAGATAAAAAGATGACCGGACACTGGATCTCCCTGTCGTATCCCTCTATTCAGGTATATTTTGTCCCCTAAATACCCATTCATGATTATCCTAGCAAAATTTTGTTTATTATTTTCAGTCGGCCGGTGCTGGCGGTCGGGTTCGGACGCGCGCGCCACCTCTCTCCACCGAGTGGTACAGACTACCGATACAGAGCGCGGTGTGCGACCAACAGTGCCGGCGGCTTTTTTGATCAGTGAGCGCAAGCTTCATGCTTACTTTCTAAGCTCACTTTGGGAACGGAACTCGCAGTTTCTCGAGTCGAGTGTTTTTTTCCTCTGTGTCGCGACTGACCCAGTGACGTGGCGCGCGAGCCATGCTGCGTCCCGATGCGTCCCGTGCAGTCGGCGCCGAGTCTGAGGCCCGTGACAACTCAACCAGCACGGACCAGCCGACTGGCGCCGGCGAACGACAGTCCGTGAGTCAGCTCGTGAGGGCTAACGGCGACGCACCAGTCGACGGCCAAAAGCGTGACCGCTCAGAGTCGGACGACCAGGCCCCGGCGGGCAAGCGTGGCGCCCGAGAGCGCAGCGGCGAGCCCACGCGAAGCCCGTCCAGCCTGAGCAGCAAGGGAGGCAGGAGTTTCAGGGATGAGCTGGACGCCGCAGTGGAGGATCTGGAGCAGCGTGTCACCACATCCCTCTCCAGAGACCTCCACGAGTTCCGCGAGAGGATGTCGGCTCAGATCGAGAAGCTTCTCGGTCCCGTTCAGGATCTCGAGCATCACGTCGAGGAACGGGACTGCATTATCGATCGGCTATCGGACGACCTTCGCCAGTCAAGACAGGAGATTTCGGTTCTAGGTACAAGCGCGCGTCGAGGATGCCGAAATCAACTCTCGCTTGCCCTGTCTCGTGCTCTCCGGCCCAGCCATGGCGTCTCGCCGGGCGGCTCGCCTGGAGCCGCCCCTGCCAGGGCAGCCGCCCGCGGCGCGGGCGGTGCCGGCCGGGCAGCCGGGACCTGACCCGGGACGCGCGGTTGAGTCACGATCAGCTGACCGCCGCACACTGGGCCGGTCGCCAGGTCTAGCACGACATGGGTAAAAAATCGAACTTCGTGGATGTGCAATGAAACCTATACCAATTTGTTCAAAAATGATCATATTACATTGCTGTGGTCTTTGTTTTCCAACACAATTGCTATTTCATGGCGAAAACTCAGCTTAACCCGCGCCCCACTGGGGGGGGGGGCTATTTATAGCCCCCCCCCCTCCCGTTTTTCTGCAATAACTTCCAAACCGCTTGACGTATCGACGCCAAACTTTCAGTACCTTCGGCTGCATCAATTTGACACCTTGTGTCAAAATTTGAACTTCGTACCTACCATAGGTCGGCCGGAAATGACGTCAGAGTGACGTCATGTTCGGCCGATTTCGACGCAAAACATTGAACCACGGCAATCGCTCCCAAGAGCTCAGTTTTTAAGCTAGATCCAATTTCTTTGCATGAGAGGACTCAGAATAGAATGCGCTATCAAACTGCTATCTCGGATTTTCGAAATTTTGAAAATTTCGAAAATTTTATATAATAAAATTCAAAATTTATATTTTTACATTTTTTTCAAAAACTTATTGACTTTTCGAAAAAAACCGGAATATATGTGACAGAACGCATTATTATGACTAACTCTAGCAAGTTTTAGCTAAATATCTTCAAAAATGGCCAAGTTATACGCATTATTGCAAAAAAATTAACAATTATTAATTTTTCAAATCAATTTTTCAGCACGAATTTGACATCGTACGCCAATATAAATAGCACCATCGTGTTCCTGAGCTCAAACTGCATCCAATAGATACCTTTGTTGTTGAAAAATTTTAACTTCAAAATTTGACCTTTTTTGACCTGAAAGTGACCTGACCTGAGCTAAATTTGACTCAAAATGACCTCGAATGACACAGACGACATCAAATTCGAAATGTTTGGCGTAAATGGACCATAAAACATGTGTCACGTGACCGACGGATGATATAATATTTTCGTGACCTGTGATGACCTGACCTTGACCTGAAAATCAAAGTACAACTTTGGTACCCTCAGAGTATCTAGAGCATCTGTTCACGAGTGTGTGAACCAAAAATGAGCCTGATCTGACTTGTAAGACGGCGGCCAGAGCCCAAAACGTGAAGAAGCCAAAATGCTAATAATTTTTACTTTGACCTGACCTGTGACGTCATCGGTGACCTCGAGGTCAATGAAATTAGGTTTCGCTCGACAGTTTTTCCGGGGCTATCAGACGCCGTTTGAATTTTGACGATCGGCCCAGTAGTTTCGGAGTTAGGAGGGGGGGCTATGAATAGCCCCCCCCCCCCCCAGTAGGGCGTGTTATACGCAGACCCCAGTGGGGCGCGGGTTAAACACGAACTTCGGAATCGTTTGGACCGAACTCGTCCCCCGCACTCTTCGACAACGTATCTTTGATCCACGAAAACAATCACAATTTGAGGAGGAATTCCACATTTATATACAGGGTGTCTCAAAAGTTCGTTCACAGGTACCAGCCATGCTTTTTTGTCAATAATTCTGAATCAACAATTAATTAACGGTCGAAATTTTGCATGGGCATTCGTAACAACCTTCCTCAAGCAGTCTCATTGTTTTCAAGCGCATTCGACCCTTTATGAGCTCACAAAAAGGGTTCATCTCTGACCATGGGTCAGGCATGAAAATGGAGGTCGCAAAATCGGGTCGGCTGAGAAACTCTCTATTTTAGGAGTAATGGGAATGGTTAAGTCGGAAATGACCCATGGCAAACTGTCGGCGAGGATGAGTACAACATGATGATCATCTAATAAAAACGGTGGCTAAAATTTTTGAAGGACAAAACCATGCGAGACTAACAGCGTTTTGAACGACCCTCGTACGGCAGCAGACTCGTGCTCCGGAAAGCAGCTTAAAATGAAGTCATAACTATTGAAAACTGACAAGAAGCTCACAGACAGAGGTTACCCAGTTTCACAAATTGCAGGTCATCGTAAAATAAAGACAAAGTATCATTTTAAATTGTTTATTATATCTATAACGCTAAATTTTGGGGGAAAATAACACGAAAATCGTCAATGCCAAGGACAACTGACCCTTCAAAAGTGTCAATTAATGTAAATTTTATCTTATGAAGTTTCAAGAGGCAGATCTGGAGCGAATAGCTTTCTTTTAGACACA